TAGTCAACAGAAGCTTGCACTCAAACCATTGATTCTACAACTACTCATTTCATTTTATTTTCAGAATGAATGATAGCTACTGAAGTAGAAACTACTGGACAAAACTTATGTTTATGTGCTGCCTATTAATGAGTCAAGATACCAGCAAAATATAAAGAACTTTCACCCCAGAAATCCAAATTTGACCCACTAATAGGTATATATAATGCTACTCTTTCCCACATTTAAGAGATTAAAACTTGGACATTGTTTGATTTTGGACATAATTCTGCTTAAATCAGATATGATACTTGGAATTGGCAACCACATTAAAATGATCAAAATTTGTAACATGCACACATAATATACACCCTTCTGAATCACAAAACCACAAGAATTCTTGAAAAAATGATTTTGAAGATAATGAACACATGATTATATGCTCATTTGTTATGAATCAACATGTAATTTCTCAAATGATAAGACACCCTCTGTCATCCCTCCCTTTCTGGAAAGAATTTGTGATGGTAGATCTCATACATAAATGAATTATTAAAGCAAAAGAATAACATTTTAAAAAGGGAGAAAAATAAAAGAGGTCTTGAGGCAAACTGGGCAGTCGCTGGACAAAAGTAATCTTAACATAACCTTACCACTTCTGTTCAGATATTTTAAGAAAAACATGGCAGTCATAAAATCATAAAAATGTAGCCTGAGCCAATAAATGTCTAAGTTTATGTTCAGTGTTATAAACAGTTAGGGTGTGCCCTTGGAATCGCTGGCCAATCTACAACTTAAGCATTGATTTATCACATACTTATTCAACAGAAATACAGAGCTCCATTTTACTTGTAAAATTACACTTTGCATGGGATAGAATAAAGCACTGTGTAAAAGTAGGTCAAATAGGTCATATACTTGTCCAGAACATTTTGTGGTTTCCAGAGGTTTGTTGGCTAAATTAGACTTTGGTTGGGATAGAATAAAGCACTGTGTAAAAGTAGGTAAAATAGGTTATATACTTGTCCAGAACATTTTGTGGTTTCCAGAGGTTTGTTGGCTAAATTAGACTTTGTATGGGATAGAATAAAGCACTGTGTAAAAGTAGGTAAAATAGGTTATATACTTGTCCAGAACATTTTGTGGTTTCCAGAGGTTTGTTGGCTAAATTAGACTTTGGTTGGGATAGAATAAAGCACTGTGTAAAAGCAGGTCAAACAGGTCATATAGTTGTCCAGAACATTTTGTGGTCTCTAGAGGTTTGTTGGCAAAATTAGACTTTGCATGGGATAGAATAAAGCACTGTGCAAAAGTAGGTCAAATAGGTCATATACTTATCCAGAACATTTTGTGGTTTCCAAAGGTTTGTTGGTTGAATGTGTTCTTCCAAGATGCTTCAGGTCAGTCTGTTCTTTATTGTCTATATAGAAATGCCATTGCTGTATACCTCATTTGTTTCAACTCTTTGTGATTATTTTGGTTGAAAAGTGCATATCTCCCTGTTTCTCCATCCTTTGCTCCTCATCCTAATTTTTACACAAGGCATAAATGTCACCACCTGCCATTTGTTACAAATGCTAAATGCCACCACAAAGTAGTTGGAGACTATAAATTGTGGTGGTAACATAATAAAGCCAAGTTGGGAAAATAGAGAGGATGGATGAGAGAGAAAACATAATAAAGATCGGGAATTCCCACTTCACCTCCCATTATAGGCCCCACACTTTATTACTTCACTCTTTAATAAATTCTGACCCAATGGTCCTACCCACTTCACATCCTTAACTCAGATATAAGAAAACTGATAGTAAGAGTAAGGGTTTGACCCTTGTAAGACTTGCTTCTAGTTATACTATACAAAAGCTAGAATTTCTTGAAACAAATACCTTTCTCTGATACCAGCAGCAAAACAAGCGGAAAGATTATAAATAGTCTCAAAACACAATTGTAAAATGTTTAAGGCTCCAGAGAGTAACCTGATTGCATAACCTATACAGCTCTAGAATCAACATCAAAGAAATCATTAAAAGGGTGAAAACAAATGTGAACCAGGTTTGCTACTTTAAATTCATGCATTTAAGGTTTTTTTCGTTACAAATGTTTAACACTTATAATTTGGAGGCTATCTGTCCCCAAAATAGTATAGGTCACAAATCCTCTTTCATGACACAACTAGAAAAGAGGAGGTACCTAAAGAATCTCTGAAACGAGTTGTTGCTGCATCCAAATGGTATTTTTGAACTAGGTTTGGCCATGGGCTTTCAACAGAGTCCATGGTTTGACCACTCGAAAATGAGAAATATTTGGGACTTGGGTCAGGTTTTAAAACAAGAATATTGCATCTGCCCTTTATATGACTTGAGTTTGGGGAATCAAAACACAAAAAGACTTCTCAAAAGTCAAGTTGAACCGAAGGCTGGTCTCATACAAAACCAAATATACTTGCCTGGATACTGTGACATATATGGTGTAAGCAGTAGAACAAAAGCACCACTTTCAAACATTTCAATGAGGTGTAAACTAAGGAAGGACAGTGACTACAAGGTATCATTCAAGTTGTTCACCTTTGCCATCAACATTGGTGTTGCTGCTTATCTAGGTAGTGTCTTTCCATTTCAAACTTGTCTTGAACCTGTACAGGTACATGTACAATTGTTCAGATCAAGGTCCCTTACATAGAAATGATAGAGGAGAATCAAAGACTGTAAGGTATGAATAACTTTTACCATTAATATGCCCAACTTTACCAATCCCAGTACAATACAGGTAAATCAAGAATCATTACAATGGTCAATATTAAACATAACTTTTTGTGCAATGGAATGTGAATTAATACAGAGGGGAAAAGAGTCAGACTTCCAGGTATAATATAAGTGGCTTTTCATCAAGCAGTTTGACTCAGGATTTAACATTAATACTAAAGGGAATGAAGTCAAATGAACATTTTCAGGGAGGCAGGGAGGGGTTCCAACCACAATGACTTTAACTTCATTTTCCACAACTGGCGGCAATTGGACAACTGATCCCAATCACTTATTGCATTCACCTTGTTGAATGAGATGGCACTAAGGAATTCCAAGAATACAGGAGTGTCAACATCTCAGATAAACCCACCAAATTATCAAGCAAAAAAACTGAAAGTGCTCAAATATAATTGATAGACCTTACTCCATTCTGAATTTTTTACAGGACTGGTTTCATACAGAATCTAAGAAATGTAAAATTCCACAACTTTTATTACCATTCCATTAAGAAGAGATCAAAGGTGAAAGGAGCAATCCATCTTAGTCAATGTCAATAGCATGTCACTGTTTGACATACACACAAACTAATGATCTGAATTTACAAAGGAATACATTCTTTGTTATATGTTGTTTTCTTAACAAACAAAAATATACCAAAACAAATCAAGTCAATACATACATCATAGCAGGACTGTTTCTTAGCCTGGACTAATTCCTCAACAAGAATCTTTTGCCCTTCCAGATGGAGAAATGTCCAAAACTGATTGAAATGGATAACTTTCATATGTTCACTTCGATGCTGGATTGAATGGCACTATGATTTGTAAATAAGCACGCTATTTCATAAATATGCCTATATTTTTGCTAATAATGTGGATTTTTCCCAAAACTGCCCTTTCAAGCTTTCCGCCATTGTTCAAGATATGATTTCCTATTTACCCAATTATAACTTTTGTTGATATGTTTTTATTCAACCACAAGATACCCTTGATATGAGCAGATGTCTGTCAGCTGTTTAAACCAGGAAATATTGTATTTTTTCTGACCAAAGATACCTGTTAAACTGGTAGTAAACAAATACATACTGTGAGCAGATAAAGTCTTGTTTTGTGCATCTGCTAGCTATAACTACCTGAATGATTCAATCCACTTTTTTCACATACAACCTAAAATACCTCAACTTCAAGTGATTCCTCCTTTACAGTAAAACCTATGAAATCTGAACAACATAGGGATTGGCAAAAATTGGTCAGATAAGCAGGTGTTCATATTTCACAGTTTTTTTAACATAAGAGTCAATGGGAGAATAAAATGAACTAAGAAAGTGTTCAGATAACAGAGGGGTTCAGATTGGGAAGGTGTTTGTATACACAGGTTTAACTTTACTCAGAGCATGGTCTATCATGGTAAAGAACATATTGTTTACAAATTGTGATATCCATGTTCATTGAACATATTCTAATGATTTGTTCAAGATTTTCAGAAGCCAGGAGAGTGTTTGGAAACACGTTTCCACTAGAGACAGATGTACAATAAATAGAGAAGTGTTCTCTCAAATTGGTATTAGGAAAAGTATTTGTTATAATCTCACCCATCCCTTGAAAGAAAAACATATTATTAAACCACTTAAATAAATGTAGAGGAAATAGTGAGCATAAGGAATTGTGTTTAATAAACTTATTTGATTTAATGAAATATAGCAATCCTAGATATATGCAAGTCAGAATAAGACTGCATTCCAGAAAAACAGCAAACATCAGATCAGAAATCATTAACCCAGTTTGGCCAGTTTCAACCCCACCCTGTATCATTGACTGATGCAGTAGATTTTTTACATGAAATTCTGCACATTCCAGCCAGAGATCCATTTCAGACTCAAACCATCCCTCTACATGAAGGAATTAATATATTTCAATATTTTTCTTAAAGGAAACCCTTGCGTAAATTGAGAATTAATATAAAGATATGTATGAGCAAAAATATAACATGTATGTTAATGTTGACGAGCCAGCTAGAATTAAATCAACTTTATGATAACCTTATGATCGTGAATATTTTATGAAAGGTTACATGGCTAACTTACAGTATCTGAGAGTGGGGAAAACTTGATTAATAAATGGCTACTAGAAATCTCTTACAGTTTTACATGATGGGTTAATGTGTTGGATTTTCATCCCAAGAAACGTCCCTGAAATTTTGAAATGAGAAAACATGAACTTATCAAACATGCATGACATTTTACCTTTCGAATGGTATATGATTCTAAGTTATACTTACTGCATTATAATGGAGTGCCATCTTGAACTTTTCAAAGTACATCCATTTTCTTGCCTCTCCAGGATCAAGGTCATGAAAGAAATCTCGTGCCGAAAATCCAAATGAGTGAAACTTCCCTTGGGGGTCAAGCAGCAGTGATGTGGGGGTCTTCTGGTTTATGACCCCAGGATCGCCACCCTCCCATTTTCTCATCATGTGAATTGACTCTGGGTCGCGTGTGAAACTGAATGCATATCCGCTGTATGTTGTACCGAAATCAATGGCAACGATCACAAAATGGCCATGATGGCGGCTAGGATCTGAGCTGTGGCCAGAATCGACAGAGCTTCGGTGAGAACGAGCTATTGCGCTATCAAAGCTCTCCAGGGACATTGGGGACTGGGGTCCAGAGCGAGGTAGGGAACGGCTGGTGCCAGGTTGGGGTTGACTCTTCATGGGGGTTTGTTCTGGTGATAACTGGTAGTTGTACTTGTTACTGGGAGTGGAAGTTGAAGTGGGGCTGGCCATACTCATGGGACGGACACTATCTGAAACTCGGATTGGACTCGTAGGATTAGTGGCCTTGTAACGCAGCTCAGGGGTATCAGGGAACACAATATCAGATGATGAATGATCAACAGATGGCGAGTACACCTCGTTTTCAGTAATTGTTTCAGGGGTCTTCTCTCGCTCGGCTAGGGGTGCAGGCTGATTGGTTATCTGGGTTATTGCTTCAATTGGAACATCAATGGCACGTTCTTCGAAAGATTCATCAACCGGCTTTTGAGTGGGTGACTCTTTTGGTGGAGAAACAGGGGGTGTTGTTAAGCTGGCACGCTCCTTGGGGCTCTCAATGGTTTTTTCGACACGGTCAGTCTGGGCTGTGCCAATATCAATGGTTAAATCCAATTTATCAATGGTTAATTCACTCTCCTGGTTATCAATCACATCAGACAATCGTTTCAAAGCATCTTTCTCAGCACTTGGGAGGCTCTCACTATCTCCTGATGTGTTTTGCTCGTTTTGTGAATCAGGCTCGGGAAAATGAATTTCTGATTCAGGTTTTTCTGCTTTCTGTGGGGTAACAATTTCCTCCGTTACAATGGCTTGAGAATTGCTCCCATCATCCACATTTGTTCCATCAACAGCCCCTAGAAATACAAAATAAATAAATTATCTATTTATCACACACAGCAAGGAATGCATTATCACAATCTGACCAATAAGAATGCAGTATAACCATGGTATATTTACCATGATAGTAGAAATTTTATTGTCCAGGTGTTTATCTCTAAAAACCCTGCCCTATAAACACAATGCATTAAACCAGATATAATGAACAGGTTATCATGCGTTAATCCTCTACTGAAAACATATTACTGAATTCAATGAATATGCCAACAGGTCTGAAAATATAGTGGCAATGTATTTCACGAGTCTAATCTTTAGCATGTGATTCTGAACATATGAAAATCATTTGATATTGAGAGATTTATCAAGAGTTAATACATTTAATTTTACACAGGGAGGATTATGTGTTATGGGCGATGTAAGAGAATTTCTGACACATTTGTGCATGACATTCACTATGTCATAAAACTTATTGAACAGCCTGTAAAAGTATCAAAAATTCATTCCTTTTGCCGTTCCATTAGTTCTATTTACACCCCAAGTCACATTTTCAATACAAGGAGTATCTTATACTGACTTAACAACCCAAGTTTTGAAATAGAGTACTTCTACAAAGTGCAAATCTGTGCACCATTACTGTTTTATGTTTCAGTATTCTGAACCAATTTCTCCATGATTTATCTAGAATGGTGTGACCACCATGACATTTGTGTAGTTAGACCAGATCTTAAAATGGCGTCTGCTCTTCATATTTACGAAGATTTCTCACTAAAATTTGAATAAAGTTTCTCACTTTCTGCCATTTTTATACAATTTAGAGCACAGACATCATGACTGTCTATTTTGTTCCTTGATAATTGCACTGTTTTATACTTTATTTTTCAATTTAAAACATGACCCCTCCCGTGACATATTTGCTGGGAACTCTACGTCAGGTAAAGTATAAGATAAAGCGTGTGTAGTCAAGTTACAAAAGTCAGTCTACCCTGTTCCTGTCTTCATGTTTTTGGTACCTAAATATACAAAATTATCGCAGACATATCTAAAACATAGTCTCAATACTAGAACATCTTTATTCTTGTTATACTTATTCTCGAACACATTTTCTTGCTTTCTGATTTTTGGCAGCTCTTTCATTTACAACTTTTTCTTCATCCGAAAATAAAATGGTCAATAGTCCATTATCCACTTTATTTTTCAACTTAAAATGACTTCTACATTGTCACTTACAGAAAAAACTTTATTTTAATAATCCTGAAATAAAGTCGATACATTCCTAATTGTCAGTATCCATGCCAGTCAAATGAAATTTCCTGGTTGTAATGGTGGAAAAACTTCCTGACTAGCTGGCTCTCTCAATTGAATATCAAATGAACTTACGAGGTTAATTTGTTTTTATGTCCAGTATAATTGTGTAGTGTTTCATTGAAATGAGGTGGTTTTGATTTAGTCAACTCGTGGGTATACATCCCATCCCACATAAATTAATTAGAACTTCTAATGCCAAAAGTCAAATTCCCTGGCAGAAAAACTCTTTTTTCAATGAACAAATATCATATTCGATCATTTCATAAGAGTATCAGATAATCATTTATTTAAAGAAACATTTATTTTCATAAATCAGGAATACAGTGTAGCATTCTAATAAAATTACCATAAACATTTGAAATTCAATTCTAATTCTACATAATACTTTGTTTATATTCAGTTAAACCTGTACCGGTAAACACCTATCTAGCAGAGTAAACTTTAAGTATTCTGAACACATTTTATTTTATGTGTGATACAGTAAAACCTGTCTTAAGTGAACACCTCTCTCTCATGAACACATGTCTCTAGTGGACACCATTCCTCAGCACATACTCTACTGATTTCTGTATAAATTACCCTCTCTGTAGTGAACACCTACCAACATTGAACATTTTTTTTTCTTGGCAAAAAATATTCTATATAAACAGGTTTTACATGTATATTGAGTAAAATGTTAAAATGACCTTATTTTATGACAGAAAGATTAATACTGACAAAACTAACACCCAGACTAAACTGATGCAACTTCATTCCAAAATATGTAACTGAATCTTAGCTCTGCTCAGCATGGATCCAGTGCCTGTCTCTGCTCATGACAAATGAGTCTGTAAACACATGTGAGTTGATTAAATCAGTTCCTAAATATCTTTACAGACATTTTTCTAATACCAATACAGATACAGAATCCAAGGGACCATTTAATATATCAATGATGTCACTAAAAAGTATAGTAAATTACATTTTAGATTGGCCCCATCCCCTACCCCAAAAATTAGATGATGGAACATTTGCTGAAAAATGAAATGAACTTAAACCCTCCCTAAAAAACATAATATTTAATTGCTTATGGTATAATATACCTTAACTGTAAATGATGATACTGTGTGAATCAAAACATGAAAAGATTTTTCTTATCTTGAGCATTATGTTATACCTTATAGTTTTAGAAATTCAATGATAAGCGATGATGGTTGCCATAACAACGCCAAAACAATTGCAAATAATACTATCTTACCTTACCCTCACTGATCCAACTTTCATTTCTTTGTAGGCTGCAGATGCAAAATAAAGTTTTTACTTACCTTCATCAAATATATTTGGTTTCTCTGACTCTAACCTGTCTTTAGGTGAATCCAATCTTTAAGACGCTATCTCCATAGCAACAGAATGTTATATATCTCCTAGGAAAAGTCAAGCAAATCTTATGATGCTCAATTTTTGCATAAATCTTTTATAGTCTTTGAAAATACACTGAACCTAATCTCACTCTTACACTAAAAACCACAGGTAAATGGACCTGTTATCGCTATGGATTTGGTTACCATAACAACCACACCAACTCACCTGTTATATTTCCAAGCAATTTCTAAAGAACTCACCTACGAAGTAGTCCCTGTGTTATTTTGTACCAAAACTAAAGAGATAACAGAAAAAGGTATTAGCACCATGTTGAGGGGCTACTGATATCCTTATAGTATACAAACCACCCTTGCCCACTGTTTTAATGGAATCAGATTTGTGTGGGAAATGCAATAAATGGGAGATGGATTTTATCTATGTTTTGACATTGCAGTAGTTTTTAGCTAACATTGATTCAGACACATCTCAGTGATCCTTGCATAGGTTAATGCATTTCCATGGGCAAATCTTGGAATAATTCCAAAAATAGGCAAGGGCACCATAACTAGGTCTACCTTTTTATCTTTACCCATGGTTACAATTTCCCTATGGTCAAGCTTATTAAACTGATTTTCTTAACAATTTCAAATGTCACCTACATGCCTTTTTATTTCATTTCTTGCTAATTCCTCTCTTTTCTACAGTTTTATATGATTCAAAAAGCATGACCACCATGCCAATTTTGCAACAATAGTCACATCTAGGGGTAGAAACTGATGTGTGTTGTACATGTTATTTTGAACTTGGTGTGTTTGTTTAAGGGAGCTAAATATCCAAACTAAGATGGAAAACACATTTTGGAGTAAATTGATCGGTTCAAGATTAAAATGTTCTGAAAGTATTTAGTCCCAAACTGTGAAAAACTAACGCTTAGACTGTGATATACATGTGCGTGTTCACTGTCATATATACATGCAATACCACAGATGAAAACAAAATATCAAATATCACAATAAATTCTTGAAATATTTTTTGTGTAACTTATTGAACCTGATGGTGTTATTTACTTTAAGACTTCCTTATTTGGAAAATATTGAAGAGGTAAGAAAGTAAGATATGCAATGTATTGAATTAAAGGGCCAGTATCTATAATTCTGAAACATAATATGTATTTCAAAAGACTCAAAGATGTCATATGAATTATATATTATTGTGCCTCAGTCAAATTTGCTCTTTGGCGACCAAACAGTGACCATAGGAGTACATGTAGTTCCCCGAAATTGAGAAATTTTCAAATTATGGCAACTACAGGATATCTATGGTTGCCATATAGCATATTCCAGTACTATACACTCAGACTGTAGGGTTGCCATTATGACTGAGTAAATGGCATAAACATGTAGTACATGTACATTATATACAGGGTGGACACAAAAAAGTGCCACCTACCTCAAGTTAAATAACTTTTTTGTCTTTATGATTCCTGACTTCTTCTTTTGAACATTCAAACTAGATTTCATGGGGCAACTCTACAAGAAGTTTCAGATGACAAGATCAATTATGTGGACTTTTATGATAGTTACAAGATGTGATCTGAATGTCATCCATTCCATTGCAGGCACACTTCTCAATTCTACTGGCAAAGTTATTGACCACATTTGCCTGACATAAACACGCAAGATTTTTATCTCTGGGGGTTCTTGAAGTATCATTTGTATGTAACAAACCCCCAAACCATAGATCACCTGAAGATAGAGATCACAAGAAGGATCAGGGCCATTTCTGTGGGGGAATGTGTTATGGTTGTCAATAACCTTACCCATAGAATCCAGGTGTGCCTGACATTTAGAGAAAATCGTATAACGCTCATGAAAGTGTATCCAGTTGACCTAGTCATCTGAAATTTCTTGTGGAGTTGCCCATGAAGTTTAGTTTTTACTTTGCAAGAAAAGAAAAACAGGAATTACATAGACGAAAAAGTTATTTAACATGATGTGGGTGGCTCTTTTTTGTGTCACCCTGTATTATATAGGACATCGAATCTGTCACCCATTCACTCAATTCCTGTTCAAGTGATTCGTGACTTTCTGAAAGTACCAAGCATCCTGCAGATTTATCCTCTTAACATAATTTCTATTTTTACTCATTTTTTAAGCCAGTAATATGCAGCAGTAAATGTTTATCAAAATATGATCCTACACTCGGTGTCTCACACCTCTCTAAATAACATAACTTCAGAATCAACTAACAGTACAGAATATGTGGAAACTATCACACATAAAAATGTTAAAGGTCTGTGAAAGCCAGCAACACATAATCCAGACAACTTTCCGAGATAGCTCCAGTAAGGGTATCAAATGATTTTTTCTGG